TTATTTGAGTGGCAGATTGCCTGACTGAAATAAACAAAATCATTATGTAAATACAGTAGAATCCCTACTTAAGACCGACTTAGATTTAAGACCACTCCGCTTTTAAGACTATTTTTTAAAAGAACGTAATTTTTGTAATTTATGTCAATAGTAATATTCTCCAGAATTAAGACCATCCCGGTAATCCACTGTTAAGACCACCAGACTCAGTCCTAATTATTTATTGAACTCACTATTGAGACCACTGATTTAAAAGACAACACCTTCCGAGATCACATTATTATTTGTTGTTATTATCTGCTTGAGGCATGACACTTGATTTAACAAGGTGTCAAAAACTGTTATTATAAGGTTATTGTATGAAATAAGGTGTGAAATTAAATTTCATAGTTGTGTTTCAATGTTGCTTTCAGCACATTTATATTGCAAAGAATCAATTTCTCATATGATTATAGCACTGATCAATATTGGAATTCATTATGAATCTAAGTTTTTGGTGACTTATAGGTCCATTTAGCCGGATGCTTTCAATACATCTAGATTACTGTATATTTGTAACATATTGCAGATGTCACTATAATAAATTATTTCCTTACTTACTTACTTCTTATATGATAGGTGAAAAATGTACATTATATAATAAAAATTATTGAAAGTATTTAAGCAAGTATATTAAGACCACCCCGCCATTAAGACCACTTTGGTTCAGTCCCGATAGTGTCTTAATTGAGAGTGTTACTGTATACTTCAAAACCTGTTAGATGGAATAACTTTTCAAATATTGATTTTGGAATCAAATTAAATTAAGCTACGTCTGTACATGTATATAAGTACTCCAAGTTTAATAAACTATTCTAGCGGGCTTCACACTAATCTCGTGTCAAACAGATAGAACAATCCAGTGCTACAAGATATGTTCACGCTCATTCTTCAGCACTTACTCAGTGACTGCAACATTTTCCACCAAATTTCAAAATCTTGTTACCAAATGGTAAAGAATTGTTAACTCTTTAAGGAAAAGAAGCTGGCATTTCAATGCTTTCAATTTATAAATAGAAATGCAATTTCGAAGTCAAAGCAAGTGTAGGTCAACAGAGATGTGACTGCTAGTTTCTTTGTGAAAATTACCCTACTTAACTGCAGTTAGAAAGAATTTTTTTTTGCACATCATTTTTTAAATATGATAAAATTAAATTATTATTATATTTAATAACTGTTCAATTAAATCATCATGTAATACTATAAAACCACCTTTTTACAATTTGTCAAATTTCAATCCAAAATGAGAGTGACGTACTGGTGCAGCAGATTGTTCCCCTTTATTTTTGTATGGAGTATTTTCATTTTCTGAGGTTTTCACGTGACCAAAACGGAAGGTTATTAAATGCCTCATCTTGTCGTTGTCTTAGATAAGCAAATGTAACGCTACTAGTTTCTTTGGAAGTTATTTTACTACCAAAATTATAACCGAATATTATAGATATATACTTAATTATTTGAAGAAATGTTAAGATTATCATATGTACGTACGTGTATGACGCAGGTTGGCCTGTTCTTTCTGAAATCCAATGACCCTCTTTCTCCTCATAATAAATACCAACCCACACCCGAACCCTTATACTTGCTATAATAGTATTCTCTGCTTCATTTTCAATGTCACACAAGGTTGCTCCTAGACGCTTACAATGGGCACGTGCTTCACTGAACGTTTTATACTCCTTGACATACAAATAACAATACGATAAATATTTTTGCCAGTCAGATGGACATGTGTAGGACGCCATGTTTGCAGAAATTAAAGTATTTACAATTTTTGTTTGGGTTTCCATTAAAGTTTCAATTTTCTTCATTTGATCACTCAGTAAGATCTCTATTTTGCTAACATTTAGTTTGGATTCCATTTCTTCTTTCGAAGCTATTAATTCAGCTCTGAGCTCGGAGAAGTTATTGGTTAGCTGATTAGTTTGTTCGTTCACTTGACTCGTTAGTTTTTTCGCTTGATCTCTTGTCCATTGTTTCTCTCGCTCAAGTCCTAACGACACTAGTACTCGGCTTGACTTTATTTCACTTTTTTCAGAGTTAGTTTGTTCCTTTTTAACCGACTGTTGATCTGTTTTGTGACACATTTGATCCTTTAGATTGATCAGAGAATTATTAAATTCCTCGAAATTTTGTTGTAATGACCAAATCATTTCCTTTGCAAAGTCGTTGTCTGAATTTAATCGTGTTTCAATTACACCAATTCTTTTTTCGATGATATCAAATTTGTCTCTCCTTTTTGTATCCACCATTAAAACAAATAACCATAAAAGACAGAAAAATTTCACGGCATTCCCCATTATATTGTGCGTTGGATTAATATTTTTCTCAAAATATCTTAAAAGTATAATTAAACGTTTAGATTAAAACGTCTTTGAATAACAATAATTATAAACATTAAGATACGCTCAAAATACGAAATCAACTTGATGCGTGTGTTTCGAATGTTAAAGTGTTGTTT